GGATTTTGCTTCCCAAGCACTACCAAGCCTCAATAAGCAAACCAGTAACCAACCTCATGCTGATGAGTTGCATTAACAACGAAACAGCTGTCCATGGGTGGTTCACTGGTTTTGCATCATTTCCTAAATTGTGTTCCACGCAGTTGTATACTGCAAACACAGATTAAAAGGAATCCATGGAATGAGGCAAAAATGTGATTCTTTGTTAAACTAATTTGCATATGCCCACCCAGAATCCTTTGCGGTTGTAACATCACTGCAGATTTGGGATTTCTGTGGGAAAAGCAAGTCATATGGCTTGACTGGTGTGCAGACTTTTGTTTAACATTGTATTAACTATATGTATATATATATATATATATATATATATATATATATATATTTGTGGTCAGAAACATAATAGTAATATGTGAAATTTGTGTTAATACAAACAATATTTGTGGTCAGAAACATAATAGTAATATGCGTAATTTGTGTTAATGCAAAGTTGGTTGGGGTGTGCCGTAAGCAACGTACGGGTAGGCCTGTAATAAAAGAAGTGTACAGGTAGCCGGGGGCCCACATGCGCATATATGTATATACATACATACATGCGCATGTGGGCCCCCAGATACCTGTACACTTCAGAGGGGGCCCAGCACACTCCATCTCCATCTCCACTTCCCAGCTGCTCTTTTCTGTCTAACTCTCAGGAGCCCAGTGGTCGTCAGAGCGTTGCCACAGCTGGGAAGTGGAGATGGAGTGCCACCAGACCAGAAGGGAATGTGATCTCCCCCTTCCCTGGCCACAGGTAAGATGCAGGGAGGGGGGAATAAAATAAAATTTACTACAATTAATGAAAGAAAAACAAAGATGCTCTTTCCCCCCACAGTATCCATCCACACAACATTCTTACACAAACACATACTGTAGAATATTGCATATTCTATGTTTCTATTGATTAGGTATGGATGTCTAGATTGGCATAAGTAACAGAATAAGTCACAAGGTTTTCTTGTATGATATCTCTGGAATGTGGATTGGGAGTCTTGTCCTTATATGGCTAGAGTTATAGTCTGACGTCAGTATGGGCACATCTATATAGTAACTGAACAAAGGGACACAAGGTCTCTCTCTCTCTTGGCTCTTCCTCCTGTATGGCTGTGTAACAATGTGACTCTGCCTTCAGAAGTCCAGCAATTAACATCCATGATCATGTAACATCCTTTGTTGTTTTCTTATGTAACAGTAACTAAGAATAAAGAAACCGCAAGTCAGATTGCGTATTAGTATTTTTCATTTATCTAGACATATATGGAATATGGAAAAACATACAGAAAGAACAAAGATTTTACACACTCTGCATTTACTATACACACATTACATGCACTACACAAACACTCACTCTGCATTCAATACACACACTACGTCCACTATACAAACACACATTCTGCAGTCACTATACACACTGCATCCACTACACAAATGCACAATCTGCAGGCACTATTCACACTACATCCACTTCACAAACACACGCTCTGCAGTCACTTAACACATACTACATGCTTACACAAACACACACTCTGCAGTCACTATACACACATTACATCTTTACACAAACACACACTCTGCAGTCACTATACACACACTACATCAACTACACAAACACACTCTGCATTCACTACACACACTACATTTACTACACAAACACACACGGTGTAAGGATGTAGTTTGTGCATAGTGATTGCAAACACACACTCTTCAGTCAATAAACACACACTATATCCTTACAAAAACACACAATCTGCATCCACTACACAAACACACACTCTGCATTCACTGTACACACATTACATCCACTACACAAACGTACAATCTGCATCTACTGTACACACTGCACCCATGACACTCACACAGCATCCACTTTACACATTCTACATCCACTATACACACACACTTCATCCTTGGGGAGACTCAGAAGCGGGCCCAAGGGGCCAAGAACTTGAGCTGTGTCAGTAGACCCAAATTTTCTGATGGCAGTCCTGACAATGACACACACTAAGGGGCTGGGGAAATAGACAACGGCACACAGAGGAGCTGGGGGGCAGGGACAATGACACACATAGGGGGTGTTGGCAAAAAACATACAAAGGGGCTGGAGGAAAGAAAGACACTAACAAATGGGGCAGGGGGAAAGTAAAACACAAAGGGAAAAAATGGGAGATACACTAAATGGGATGTAAGACACACGGGGGGCTAAGATACACTAGAAGGGGTAAGACATTTAAAAGATGTTAAGAGACACACAGATGAAGAGGCATTTATTTGTGAGTGGTGGGGGGTTGGCAAAACGCATAATTGTGTGAGTAAATAAAAATGCTTGCACCGGCCAAACAACCACAACACACACATTCACTATACAGATGCACTCTCTTGGTACACTATACACACACACAATCTATCCACTACACAAGTACAGACATTGCATTCAGTACACAAATTCAGACACTGCATCCACTATACACAAACACTCTTCATTCACTACATACAGACAATGCATGCACTAAACAAACACACGCTCTGCATCCACTGTACACTCATACAATGAAATCACAAAATAATGGATGTGCACGTGGTTTTGTTGAGGGGAGCCACATTTCATCCTTGGACCCAGACATCTTGGACTGGCCATGTATACACACACACATACAAACTGAGTGCATTTTGCACAATGTATAGTTTTTAGGGAAGATTTTAGACAATGTGAGGAAAAAAAAATCACAATATGTTACATTGAGAAATTTTATTTATTTACAAGTTTGTTTTACTATCTGTAACCTTACTCATTTTAAAATAATTTTTTTTAAAGTTTTCTGTCTCGGGGAGCTTCTGCAAACTGATTGGTAGTGAAGGGGTTAAGAAATGAAATAAAAATAAATGAAATCCAATTATTTGCCCTGATTTATAGAGTACACCATATGTCAGAGGTTTTTGTTTTTGGTAGTTACAGGTCAAAAAATTGTAAAATAAAATTCCAGTATTAAATAATTTTAGAGTCGTGGTGTTTAATAGCCATCACAGAAAACAAAATTGCCACACAAAAATATATATTTATATGAAGTAGACTTCGCAGTCTATTTCCCTAAGGACATTTTATAGTAAAACTGTGGACGATTCAGATTTTTATACATTCAAATAAGAAGATAGGTTTTTAGGATGTTTTGGGGATCTTTGTATATTTTGAAAAACAAAACACATAACTAACAGATCCAGTTACACAATATTTTATAGGATGTGTGAGATTATAACATCTATGAAGATCTACAATGTCCACAGTATCCTCTATAGCAATGCTTCCTAATTAATTTGTCCTGTGGAACCCTTTGACATAGTGTATCAACATCATGGAACCCCTCCCCTTTCCCCCCAAAAAAACCCAAATTATTTTGTGCAAATTTAGCCAATTTTTTCTTTGTTTTTTTACTATATATACTCACTAATTTCTACAGATAGTAAGCAGATTGCAGGTGTGTTTTTGTGTGTAGAGTTCTTCTTTGTATGTAATTTTATCATTTTAATACGAGGATGTATTTGTATGGAATGTTAGCATTTGCGTGCCTGGCACCCCGACTGTGCACCTCTGCCAATCATGCTTCCTAGTGTTTACCGAGTACCATAAGCACCACACTGGGCACCCTAACCACTGTAGCCCCCTTAGCTGCCGCAGCTTAGCTGGGGTCTCGCCTTCCCATCCCACCCTGGACCAAACACCTGGATCCAGCTCCCAGTGGTACAACGTCTCCTCCAAGAGATTATCGCTGTATAGCCAGTAAAAGAGCAAGTGATCTAGCAGTATAGCTGTTCCCCCCACACATGAGCCAAGTCATAATGCTGGGAGTCATCTGTTTATTAGAGGACACACACGGCCTTTTATGCACAAGTCCATGCAAGCAGTTTCTAATACAAGACTACAGGGAAATCCCTCCCAGGATCCTTTGTGCCTGAGAGATAATTATCTGAGATGCAAACATATAGTTAAATTATCTCTCAGGTACAAAAAACATACAATTTATAAACATCCCCCAAATACCCCCAAAACACATAAAAACCCCACAAAAGTCACATCCCATGATAGACCCAATCTGGGTGACCAACATATCCAAAAATCACCTAGATCAGTGCTCTCTTTTGAGTTTTTCATGGAAGTCAATTCGGTCAACTTCGGTAACATAAAAACGAAAAAATTACCAAATGTAGTCTATATTTGAACCGTGGAGCTTGTTCCCCTCATCCAGGGGACGATTCCATCGAACAGTGTTCTTCTAGGATCTACAGAACTGAATGCAGTGGATGATGGAAGTCCAACGGTGTTCGATAGTTTCAGTGTCCGGTTTTAGTTCCACAAACTCAACAACCAAACACTGCTGCCTGCGTTCATGTGAACCAGATGGCTGCCACCTCGTGGTCGTTCATACGAATTGCGGCCACCCAGACGAACAATTAGAACACTGCCGTTATAATCGTTATTGATAGGGCTTAACAAGCTCCCGGGTGGTCCATAGTTCGTGCGTCTGTTCGGTTTCCGAACAGCATGGAGAAATGTCACAAAAACAGTCTTTTAACAGGCTTTTTGCAGGGTCCATAGTCTTTGGGCAGGAGGCAAGCCAGCAGGCCCGTCTGCCAGAAGTGTATTTGGATGTAGTGTGGGATTTTAAATGTGGATGTACATTTGTTTGTAGTATTGGTGTTTGAGTGTTTCTATATAATTTTGGAGTTAGAGTTCAGTGGTGTCTTTTTATGTCATGTCTGATTTTGCAGGAGTGTGTGTTGTATTGGTGTTTGATTGCTGGGATGTCTGTACATGTACTGCTACATACATACTTACACATTAACAAACAGTAACACACCGACATATACACAGTCATATACACACAAACACAGACACACACACTGATACAGATACACAAACTGGCACATACAAACACAGGCACATACACACAGACATTTGTGTGTATGTGCCAGTGTGAATCTTTGTTTGTATGTGCCGGTGTGTGTATCTGTGTGTCAGTGTGTATGTATCTGACACACAGGTACACACACTGGCACATAGTGGTACACAGATGCACACACTGACAGAAACACTGACACACACATACTGACGGATACACACATTGGCACCTATACACACACACACTGACAGCTACACTGACACACAGATACATACATAGATACACACACTGACACATACATTGACACACAGATGTACACGCACCTTGACACACAAATACACAAAGTGGCACATACACACATTAGCAGATACACCCACTGACACAGGTACACACGCAGACATACACACACATATGTTTAAATTTGCTGTTCACTTACCTTTTTTCTGCAGTAGGGTCTTCAGTGCTGCTGGCTAGTATCCCATACAACAGGGTTTGGGTATCGGTTTTAGATAGTCGCGGCGCCTGACCTGACCCCTGTTTAACGATCACCGCAGAACTCCCTAGGGGACCCTAAAAAAGTTGATAGTGGAGCCTCTCTGCCTCAGGCTCTACCATAAGACAAAGTAGTCCCTACTGTTTCACTGAAATTCCAACGCAATCTAAAAAATAATTTCAAAGAAATTACAGCTCAGACTTGATCAGTATTTTACAAAGAAATATCTCTATGAAATGCTGAAAAATGACAGATCCGCTTTAATGTATATTTTGTAAACCTTGTGTGAACAAAACTCTACAGGGAGTGCAGAATTATTAGGCAAATGAGTATTTTGACCACATCATCCTCTTTATGCATGTTGTCTTACTCCAAGCTGTATAGGCTCGAAAGCCTACTACCAATTAAGCATATTAGGTGATGTGCATCTCTGTAATGAGAAGGGGTGTGGTCTAATGACATCAACACCCTATATCAGGTGTGCATAATTATTAGGCAACTTCCTTTCCTTTGGCAAAATGGGTCAAAAGAAGGACTTGACAGGCTCAGAAAAGTCAAAAATAGTGAGATATCTTGCAGAGGGATGCAGCACTCTTAAAATTGCAAAGCTTCTGAAGCGTGATCATCGAACAATCAAGCGTTTCATTCAAAATAGTCAACAGGGTCGCAAGAAGCGTGTGGAAAAACCAAGGCGCAAAATAACTGCCCATGAACTGAGAAAAGTCAAGCGTGCAGCTGCCACGATGCCACTTGCCACCAGTTTGGCCATATTTCAGAGCTGCAACATCACTGGAGTGCCCAAAAGCACAAGGTGTGCAATACTCAGAGACATGGCCAAGGTAAGAAAGGCTGAAAGACGACCACCACTGAACAAGACACACAAGCTGAAACGTCAAGACTGGGCCAAGAAATATCTCAAGACTGATTTTTCTAAGGTTTTATGGACTGATGAAATGAGAGTGAGTCTTGATGGGCCAGATGGATGGGCCCGTGGCTGGATTGGTAAAGGGCAGAGAGCTCCAGTCCGACTCAGACGCCAGCAAGGTGGAGGTGGAGTACTGGTTTGGGCTGGTATCATCAAAGATGAGCTTGTGGGGCCTTTTCGGGTTGAGGATGGAGTCAAGCTCAACTCCCAGTCCTACTGCCAGTTCCTGGAAGACACCTTCTTCAAGCAGTGGTACAGGAAGAAGTCTGCATCCTTCAAGAAAAACATGATTTTCATGCAGGACAATGCTCCATCACACGCGTCCAAGTACTCCACAGCGTGGCTGGCAAGAAAGGGTATAAAAGAAGAAAATCTAATGACATGGCCTCCTTGTTCACCTGATCTGAACCCCATTGAGAACCTGTGGTCCATCATCAAATGTGAGATTTACAAGGAGGGAAAACAGTACACCTCTCTGAACAGTGTCTGGGAGGCTGTGGTTGCTGCTGCACGCAATGTTGATGGTGAACAGATCAAAACACTGACAGAATCCATGGATGGCAGGCTTTTGAGTGTCCTTGCAAAGAAAGGTGGCTATATTGGTCACTGATTTGTTTTTGTTTTGTTTTTGAATGTCAGAAATGTATATTTGTGAATGTTGAGATGTTATATTGGTTTCACTGGTAATAATAAATAATTGAAATGGGTATATATTTGTTTTTTGTTAAGTTGCCTAATAATTATGCACAGTAATAGTCACCTGCACACACAGATATCCCCCTAACATAGCTATAACTAAAAACAAACTAAAAACTACTTCCAAAAATATTCAGCTTTGATATTAATGAGTTTTTTGGGTTCATTGAGAACATGGTTGTTGTTCAATAATAAAATTAATCCTCAAAAATACAACTTGCCTAATAATTCTGCACTCCCTGTATATTGTGTTCAGCTACATCTTCTGAGTACAATGACAATTCAAATAAACTCACAAAGACCTATTATTTGGGAAAGTAGATATTCAAGGGTTTTTTTTTAAATCTTTATTTTTCATGTGGAAAGATAACATATTCAGGAAGTTGGCCACAACAGCCTCGATACATCGATTAGAATCAGTACATATCAAATACAAGGCATTGTTGTGTGCTATTCACACACATTTTATATTTACAATAGGTCACATTGTTACAGTGAGGTTTTAAAATCTAATAACTGTAGGGGTGGAAGACTTCTGTCTGCCTAAGACACCCTAAGGTCTGTGGAGTCGTAGGTGGGGGGGGGAAAGGCATTTATTGCTAGGTCTAGTGGCTGGTCCCTATTCTAGGTCGTGCGGCTATAGTTATGGGTGTTGGGTAAGTCTCTTGACCCTTTTGAGTTTGGGTAAGGATGCGGATTGCGGTAGTTATGGGGTCCCTCTAATGGTGCCTGTCTAGGACTATGTCTGCTCCTCTTTTACTTTCCCTGGTCATAGCTATTTGTAGGTGCCCATGTGTGTGGTGCTCAGGGTGTCTTTGTGGCCCTAGTGGTAACTACAAATCATGTCTATGTATATACATAGGTCGCTGTAGTGTGACCGGATTAAGTTGTGCCCTTGGGGCATCAGACCTCACGATAAGCCTGATTCCAGTCAGGATTACTATGTCGCCTTTGATGTCGTTTCCCATTAACCCAAGGGAGGGGGGGGGGGATCGTTATCGGAGCTAGTGTGCGCGGCTCTGGTGGGCCGCTTTAGCACTGTTATAGTCGTCAGAATGTGAGAGAACTACATTTAACTTAAATGAACCGATTTATCAACTTAAAATATTTAAACTAGTGAAACTAAGGCCTATGAGGCAGTCGGTGAGGCAGTTCGTTCAGGTTTTGGTTTTCGGTCCTCTGCTTATTCCAGGAGTTGCGGATGAATCTGTGCTCGTTGTCCCTGGTCGTTGAGCCGGCTGTGTCATAGAGGTCGCTGCGAGGTTCGATATTCCCAATGCGGTCATCAGTGCCGGGCCCTCTGCGTGGTCGGTAGCTCTGTAGTGCTTGTCATCTTTAGTGACCCAGAGAGTTCCTGGTGTTGCCCATCTATAGGCTATTCCTGCGGCTTGGAGTTGTTTGGTGATAGGTTGCATACTTTTGCGCCACATCAGTGTGGCCCTGCTCAAGTCCTGAAAGAAGGAGAGTTTGCTGTCTTCAAAGTCAAGAGGTGTTTTCCCTTGCATAGCCGCCATTAGCCCCAGTTTGTCCATCATTGATTGGCATCTCAAGATTATGTCCCTTGGGGCTGAGTTGGGTGCTTGTGGGGATTTGGCTATCCTGTAAACCCCGTCGAACTGGAACGTTTTAGATTGTCTAGTTGGCAGGAGTGTGGCCACAAGGCGTCTGATGAAATGTGGCAACTCTTCCAGCGGTATCGATTCAGGTACCCCTCGGATTTTTATGTTCTTTCGACGCCCCCTATCATCTAGGAGAGTAACTTGCCTGGACATTGTTGCTTGTGCAGCTTGAAGGTGTCGCACCGTCTCTCCCAATTCCTGGTAGTTCCCTCTTAGTCCCTTTACCTCCTCTTCTACCGCTTGAGTGCGCGTGGACACGGCGTGCACGTCTAGTTTAAGCACTGCCAAGTCCGCTTCCCACATTTGTCTTAAGTTCTGCTGCAGGCCTGTCAGCATAGCCTGTATGTCTTGTTTGGAGGCCGGTGCGCTGGCTTCTGGCATCCACGCGTGTGGGGTGTTGGGGATTGAGGTGTGGGCTGTCTAGTGATTCTTCCTCCTCTGATGGTGCTGGGGAGGTTTCACGGGGGGTCTGTGCCTTTACTGCGCTTGGGGCCTGTAACATTTGGCCTATGTCGCGCTGCGGTTTTGGGGCGTTTTGGGGCAGTTTCTGTGTTCTGCGCCCCATCTCACCTGAGCTGTGTGTGCTGGGGTACCAGTCCTCAAATTCTGGGACACTCCAGGGCCAGTGTTCTCCCGTGCTGGATTGAGGTTGCCTCCCTGCCCGGTAGGCCTTGCCGCCTCGGCGTCTATTTTTCGAGCCGGGTGTCAGGAGAAACGGCATCGGCGGTTTCAGCGAGGGTCCCTGCGGGCTGTGGCTGATTATGTGGCCGGGATTAGTGCGGGATGCCCCCGATGTGGCTGGATTGCCGTGCGGTAGCTCGGAGCTCCGGCAATGTGCGACCGCTCCGGTCCGGTGCTAGACTCCGCCCCCATTCAAGGGTATCTTATACCTTAACGTGCTGCCATTTTTTCTCACCAGTTTTTTTTTGCTTGGTGTTGTGTAAATCTGATATGGGCAACTGTGATCAAACCTCTAAAATTTTCCTTTGCAAACCCTTCTGAGTAACACAATACCCATATTGTATGCTTTTGGCTCCATCCTGTGAAGCTACATTGCCTTTTGAGCGACCTGACTACTACAGTTAGGATCATAGATAACTTGATGGACCTGTTCTGCATTTTGTGGCATTGTAGCAGTTTGACAGTTCAAATAACCCCATAAGAAAGTGCAAAAAATAAATACCTTGAACATTATACAACTAAAAATCTCTAAGTAGTTGTAACATTAACCAGTTAACACCGGATCACGCGATCACGGGGTTAACGCTCCTCCGGTCTGCCTCGGTATTCAAGGCAGACCAAGAGCACCGGTTCGCACTGTCCATGCAGCAGTGATCACCTTGTGCTGCACGGACTCACGATCCGCCTCCCTGCTCTTCCGCGTTCTGTGTAAAGTGCAGGGAGACGGATCAGCAGTGATCTTCTCCCTGTGTAAAAAA